GGGGGGTGGTGCCGGGCGACCCATAGGGCGGCACCAGGGCCACCGGGTCTGTGGACCCTCTGAGCCCGCACAGCCAGACAGCCACCACTGGAAGCAGTTCCAAAGCCGGGACATAGCAGGGGCTAACCAGCTTCGTGTTGTTTCAGAATTAGAGAACGATTTTTAAAAATTATCTTATTTAACTTTATTATTATTTTCCAGTTTGATCAGAGAGAGAGCAAGAGAAGCAGAGAGAGAGTGTGAGAAAAAAGAGAGAGAAAGAGAGAGAAAGAGAGAGAGAGAGGAAAAGTGAGGAAGCAAGTAACCAGGTCCAGGGCTTGAACCGCAGTCAGCCATGTGGGAGTCCCGCGCCTTTAATCACCACGCCACCTGCCAGCCTGTTTTGAGTTATTTTTGACATAAATGAGAGCTGAAGCAACCTGAGCAAGCTTGGGAGCAGGGCCCCCTCCGAAGGACGGGACGGCCCGTGGCTCGGCTCTGAGCAGGGCCTTCCAGGGCCAGCCTGGCGCCTGTGACACCCAGCCGTGCCCAGAGGGCCCAGGGTTGCGGAGGCCACCATGCTGGGGACAGGGACGAAGGCTGTGTTCCGTCACGCCGCACGCTGTTTGCAGACACGCGAGACAGTGTCACTGTTCGTTTCGGTCTCTTGCCAGCCAGGTCTGAGTCGTAGGAAAATCGGCGACCCTCCCCGCCCTCCCGTGGGTCTCCAGCCGCGCGCTGGATGTCGGGACGTGCTGGGGCACCCGCGTGTCGCTGAGCTTCCTACGTGTGCGAGACGGGATGGTCTGTCTGTCACGGTGGCGGGGTGACTCGGGCTCTCTCATTTGCGCCCCGAACGTCGGGTGCGCCCTTCAGCCTGCTGTCCCAGCGCCTGTGTCCCCACCGTCCTCGACCCACGTAACTGGTCTAGAGCTTTGTTCCGGCTTGGAAGACACAGCTGCTTTCAAAGTGAGAGTGTCCGTGTTAACAAAGGGGGCGTTGCCACCAGGTTTAGACGGCTGGGTCCCAGCGATCTGGAGAACCCGCAGGCCGAGGCCAGGAGTCTGGGTGGCGCCTACAGAGCTCTGCTGTCTACACAGGAGCTCCCGCACTACCCGGAAGGCGACCATGGCAGGCCCGACGACTGACCCGTCTTCTAGGCAGGAGGCACCTGGCAAGTGTCGGCTGTTCGGCCATGACAAGTTAAAAACTGCCACCGAAGGCCCTTGCAGATCCCAAAGACACCTGCCCGCACTTGAAGGACAATGCCCGTGGTCTCCGTGGGGCAGCACACTCTGCAGGACAGAGCCGAGCTGAGCGGCCAGAGGAAGCTGTCCGAGCAGACAGCTGAGTGACTGCTCCGAGGACCCACCGGCCACGGGCGTCGGCCTGGCATGGCACGGCACACCTGCCCTCAGCAGACCGTGTAGACAGGCGGAGCACACACGGGGCCGCCAAGGTGTCTGGCACAGGGCGGCACCGCAGCCGCAGCTGTGGTTCCGCACTGACCAGTGCGCGTGGGTGACCCTGTGGAATGCCCGCCGCTCCCGAGGAGGCAGCGGTGCCAGACACACATGCCCAGCTAACGGGACTGGATGAGCTAGGCAGACCCCGAGGGGCTGCTCCGACCCACCCTGAGCAGCAAGGAAGCCAGCCTTGCGCTGCAGGAGCCCGGCCCCAGGCCCAATAGGGTTCGCGGGGCTTGTGGCCGGTGCCCGATGTTCCAGCGCAGGGTTTGCGGGTGGCAGAGCCCAGGAGGTGCCCGGGGAGACGCTGGGCAGAATGGTCAGAGGTGGAGGCTGCACCCCCGCCGGGTGCGCTATGTGGCCGGGTCACTGGCAGCAGCAGCCCTGGGGCCTTGGTGGGTTTTAAACCTTTTAAAGCAGACTTGCTTTTTTTTTTTTTTTGGAGAGGTTTTTGCTATAGGGCGCGTGCGCTCACCAGACAGAGAGAGACAAAGAGACAGAAAGCGAGAAATCATCCCCCAGGGGGGATGGCCACGCCGCAATCCCTTCTCCTCCATTCTCCTCTCGGGATCTTGGGCACACACGCACACGCGCCCAGCGTGAGTTTAAGCCACCCGGTCTGGGATGTGAACCGCGGTCGACTACGTGGGAGTCCAGCGACATAGCCATTACGCTAACTGCTGGTCCCTAGACTTGCTTTTTCAGAGCGATTTTAGGCTCATGCAGAACTGAGTAGGGAGTACAGAGGTCGCCCACAGCCTCCAAGAGAGGGACACGGGGACCCTGCACCACAGGTGGCTGTCACCGGCCCGCGCTGCCCAGGCCGCTGGTGAAGCCATGCCAGAGCCCACTGGCTAAAGTACATAGGGCAGCCGTCCCTGTCTCTCAGGAGCCAAGAGGCCAAGGTCAAGGTACTAGCAGCAGGGCCCCCAGGGAGGCCGCTCTGTCTCCAAGTTGGCACTTGTGCCCCTGCCCTGCTCACAGGGTGAAAGGTGGGAGCCTGCCCCAGGCTGGCCCCACTCACTGGGGCGGGGCCCTCCGGACTAGTGGCCCTTCCAGCCTCGCACCAGCGTCCCACATCGGCGGCTGCACGGGAGGAGCAGGCCAGCCCTGACCCACGGCCCTGCTGCGTTTGCTGTGGCGGCCGCAGCCGGGCGGGGAGCTCACACCTGCATCACAACCTGGGCACAGCCTCCACGACGGCCCGAGACAGCCCTGCCGTGGAGGCGGCACCGGCCGGC